GATAAACAAAATAAAGTCACTGGAAGTATAAAAGACCATAAAATAAGATTTGAATGCCATCAAAAATAAGACTAGAACATTAGCAATTTTAGAAAGTGCTTTCTGTACTGATACAGCTTTTAACTATTCTGCAAATTGTAGAAAATAATCAAATTCCATTGCACTGTATCTGTAGTTTGCCACCACAGTTACACATGCTTTTAGCCAGAAGCTTTTTCTAAAATAAACAGTATTTTAAATAGTTGCAATGCTGGTGTGAAATTTTATGCCATGGTGACAGAATGAGATGCAGTTTAATAATGGCCTGGAGGTCAATTGAAATGATCATCAAATCCTACACATCAGACTTGCTTCCATTTGTCAGCTACAGGGAGGATAAGGGAGATGATTGAGACAGTCAACTGTTAAGATAAGGATGGACAATAGAGTGCTATTTGGTAAATTCACAAGATAGCTGGTAATACAGAAAAGTTAAAATACACAGATCATACAATCATAGTAGATAGATAGGACAAAAAAAGTCAACCAATAATCCAGAGAGTACCTATAATAGCCACTATTATAGGTGCCACTATCAAGTTGGTAGGTTAATAAAACAACTAGTTCATTGGTGCCCTTTAGTGAAGGAAACTTAACATCTTGGTCTGTCTTACATGGAATTCCAAGCTCACAATGAAGTGGTTGACACCCAAATACGCACTGGTGACCTAATAAATTCAAACTAAGGAAACCAGATGGACTTCCAGGCTGCAGTAAAGGCATCAAATCAGCCTTGCCGATACTGTAAAAGTCCTACTTCATCTGGCTGATGATTGGTTACAAAGGTGGAAAATGATCTACCACATTAATATACTTACAGAAATATAACAGATCCTCAATGAGGATTCTATGATCAAATATAACATCAGTGCAGTCTTCATCATGCCATTCAGCCAATATTTCAGGCTCCTTCACCACCCGTTTTCTAATTCTATTGTGGGATGTGGGTGTCACTCGCTGGGCCAACATTTATTGCCCATCTCTAGTTACCCTTGAGAAGGTGGTGTTAAGCTGCTTGCTTGAATCGCTGCGGTCCATCTGCTGAAGTTTGACCCATAATGCCTTTAGGGAGGGAATTCCAGGATTTTGATCCAGCGACAACGAAGAAATGGCAATATATCTCCAAGACAGGATGGGGAGTGGCTTGGAGACAAACTTAAATGAGGTGTTTCCAAGTTTTGCTGGCCTTGTCCTTCTAAATTGAAGTGGTCATAGGTTTACAAGGTACTGTCTAAGGATCTCTGATGAATTGCTGCAGTGCATCTAATAGATGATGCACACTGCTGCTACTAAGCGTCAGTGGTGGCGGGAATGGATGCTTGTAAACATGGTACCAAACAGGTTGCTTTGTCCTGGATAGTGTCAATTGTCTTGGCTATTATTGGAGCTGCACTCATCCAGACAAGTGGGGAGTATTTAATTACACTCTTGACTTGTGCCTTGCAGATGGTGGACAGGCTTTGGGGGAAGTCAGGAGGTGAGTTACTTGTTGTGGGATTCCTAGCCTCTGACTTGCTCTTGTAGCTACTGTATTTATACAGGGAGACCAGTTAAGTTTCTGGTCATGGTAACTGCCAAGATGTTGACAGTGGGGGGTAATTCAATGATAGTAACACCATTGAATGTCAACGGTGTCTCTTTTTGGAGATTGTCATTACCTGGCATTTGTGTGGCACAAATATTACTTGCTAGTTGCCTAGATATTGCCCAGATCTTGTTGTATTTGAATACTGACAACCTCAGTATCTAAGGAGTCGTGAACAGTGCTGAATGTGCAATCATCAGTGAACATCCCCACTTCTGATTTTATGAAGGAGGGATAAGTACATCCTGTCCCATTGGGCACTACTTGTCTCGGCAAAGCCTCTGCATCTGCAATGTTACAGTCAGAAATACTCTGCACTTGTCTGAATAGGTGCAGCTCTAACAACAGGCATGAATGTTTGACACCAGCAAGGAAAAGGGCAGATGGATTGTATTGGCACATTAGTTAGCATCCCTTCTCTCCACCATCAGCCTAACATGGTTACAGTGTGTGTTATCTACTGGATGCACAGCAGTAGGTCACCAAAGCTGCTTTGGCAGCAATTACCAAGCTGGCAACTTGTGTGACCTAAAAGGTCAAGGGCAGCAGATGCATGGGAATATTATCACCTCAAAGACCCCCTCATGCATTCTTACTTGGACATTCATTTTGCATCAGATACAAATTCTGGTAAAATCCCAGGGACTAACAGCTTAGTAGCTTGTTACAGGGACTGCAGCAGCTCAAAATATCCCATCACAATGTACTCATCAGCAACTTGAAATTGACATTAAATGCTGATCTTGCTGTAGATGCCCAAATATCAAAGAATGACTATTAATAAAGAACAAGATTTCATTAGTAAACAATTTCAAACCTTTGGGATATTCCAAAGCACTTTGCTGCCACTGAAATACTTTTGAAGTATAGTCACTGTTATAACAAAAACATTTATGCCAAACAATTTGCAGATAACAAATTTCCACAAACAGCAATGAAATAAATAACCATTGGTTGAAACACAAATGTTGCCCAAGAGACTGGATGGCTTAATCTCCACTTCTTTATAAATCACTCTGATGGATCTTAATCTCCACCAGAGGGGTTTGATATGAAAGAGAGTACTTTACAACCGTGCCAGATTCCTTCAAGGCACTGAAAGGGTCAGCCTAAGTTTGTGCTCAAGTGGGCCTTTAAGAAGTGAGTGCTAGTACTAAGCCAAGAAATGATTAAAACAGAAAAGGAATGATACAGCAGGATAGGCAAAACAAGGCCTCTATGTAATAGGGAACTAGGGAAGGAGATTAAACATAGAACAGTGCAGCATAGTTCAGGCCCTTCGGCGCATGATGTTGTGCCAACCTATTATCCTACTAAGATCAATCTACCCTGCATGCCCTACATTTTACTATCCTCCAGAGTCGCTTAAAAGTCTCAAAAGTAACTGACTCCACTACCACTGCCAGCAGTGCATTCCACACGCCCACCACTGTGTGCAGAACCTACCTCTGACATCTCCCCGATACCTTCCTCCAATCATCTTAAAATTATACCCCCTCGTAATAGTCATTTCCGCCCTGGGAAGAAGTCTCTGACTATCCACTCTATCTATGCCTCTCATCATCTTGTACACCTCTATCAAATCATCTCTCATCCTTCTTCACTCCAATGAGAAAAGCCCTAGCTCCCTCAACCTTTCCTCATAAGACCTACCGTCCAGTTCAGGCAGCATCCTGGTAAATCTCCTCTGCACTCTCTCCAAAGCTTCCACATCTTTCCTGTAATGAGGTGACCAGAACGGAACACAATATTCCAAGTGTGGTCTAACCAGAGTTTTATAGAGCTGCAGCATAACCTCACGGCTCTTAAACTCAATTCCCCTGCCAATGAAAGCCAACATACCATATGCCTTCTTTACAACCCTATCAACTTGGGTCGCAACTTTGAGGGATCTATGGACATGGACCCCAAGATCCCTCTGTTTCTCCACACTGCCGAGAATCCTGCCATTAACCCTGTATGCTGCATTCAAATTCAACCTTCCAGAATGAATCACTTCACACTTTTCTGGGTTGAATTCCATCTGCCACTTCTTTGCACAGCTCTGCATCCTGTCAATGTCCCGTTGCAAACTACAACAGCCCTCCATGCTGTCCACAGCTCCACCAACCTTCGTGTCATCAGCAAACTTACTCACCCACCCTTCCACTTCCTCATCCAAGTCATTTATAAAGATCACAAAGAACAGAGGTCCCAGAACAGATCCCTGTGGCACACCACTGATCACTGAGCTCCAAGCTGAATACTTTCCATCTACTACCACCCTCTGTCTTCTATTGGACAGCCAGTTTTGTATCCAGACTGCCAAATTTCCCTGAATCCCATGCCTCCTTGCTTTCTGAATGAGCCTACCATGTGGAACCTTATCAAATGCCTTGCTAAAATCCATATACACCACATCCACTCTCTATCTTCATTGATGTGTTTTGTCACATCCTCAAAGAATTCAATAAGGCTTGTGAGGCATGACCTGCCCCTCACAGAGCCATGCTGACTATTTCTAATCAAACTGTGCTTTTCCAAATAATCATAAATACTATCTCTCAGAATCCTCTCCACTAAGTTGCCCACCACAGAAGAAAGACTGACTGGTCTGTAATTTCCAGGATTATCCCTATTCCCTTTCTTGAACAAGGGAGTGACATTTGCCACCCTCCAATCTTCTGGCACTACTCCAGTGGACAATGAGGATGCAAAGATCACTGCCAAAGGGGCAGCAATCTTTTCCCTCACTTCTCAAAGTAACCTGGGTATATCCTGTCTGGTCCAGGGAACTTATCCATTCTCATGTTTTTCAAAATTTCTAGCACATCCTCCTTCCTAACAACAACCTGTTTGAGCATATCTGCCCATTTCATGCTGTCTTTGCAAACATCAAGGTCCCGCTCACTGGTGAATACTGAAGCGAAGTATTCATTAAGGACCTCCCCTACCACCTCTGGTAGGTAATCTACAAGATTATTGAAAGGAAGTCAAAGGCAAATTGGGATGAAAAGCACTATGAAAGTATGAGTTAGCAGGCTGAGACAACAATTAGGAAATGGTTACTAAATCTGTGATTAAATTTAATTCAAATGCAAATCAAACTGAAAAATATGAATCAACAAATGTATCATAGATCTTATGCGCTAACTTTTCTCAAGGAAACATACAAGTTAGACAACCACAACATCATATTCCTCAAGTAGTATTTCAAAACTAAGTTTTTTTTTTAATCCTCGCAAGGTGAAAAATAGTTATACAGGTTCAAAACATCCTGTAACATATCACAATGGCAACATCAGTCATGTGTCATGTAAACTGTGTAAAAATAAAGTACTTTATTCAAAACTATTGAAAGTGCTTGATTTCAACATATGCACTAGATGAACAAACGTCCTTTTTTAAACTTTTATTGAAAAATTAATGAGACATTATTACTCAAGTACACCATCAGGACTCTTGAACGCAGCTCCACTTTGTACACAGCAGCTAAGTCTTTGTGTTACAATAAGTAACTGGAATATTTTTATTATATATGATGCTTCCGTTTCTGTCCAGTATTAGCAGCAGTCGACAAGGGTCAGAAAATTAATCTCTTAGCCAGGCCACCTAAAAGTAAGTGCAACAACATTTACATCTGGCTATTAATGAAAATGAATTTATATTCAATAATAAATCTAGGTGGACAGACTGCATGAAATAAATGGATCAGCTACAACTTCACTGGAAGAACCATCATTGCTGCAACTAAATTGAATCTCATTTTTAATTAAAAGTACATTTGGGTTTTCAAATGAAGCACACACCTGACACCACATTAAGTGGTTGACTGAGATTTTCTTTTAAAAACAAATGCAAAATATTGCTTTTTTCAGTTCTGCAACTCCTTTTCTGTTGAGCAGGAGGAAATCAAGAAGGAACCAAGAATTAGAGGCAATGGGTATACTAGAGACTCAGCTAGTAAAAAGATGATGTTGTTGAAAGCCCAAGAGGAGAAACTGATTAAATTTCAGGGGAAAAACTAAAAGTGAGTAGAAAAGATTGTACAAGGCACTAGCAACACAGCACACATGTTTACAGCTGCCACATGAAACTGATGAGCTTCAAATTTGATTTTTTGATTTTCATTAAAGCTGTAATACTTAAGTGGGAATATAGACATGCAATATTGACATCAATTTCAAAAGATGTTGAGAATGGGACTGAAAAGTTTTTAGCATGGGTTATTTAGCAGAGATGTTAGAACTGCAGCACTGCAAATGAAGTTCGATAGCAGACAAACTTCATTCTCACAGGTTACAGTTTAACAATGGAACAGATACTGAGAAAGTAGTTAACCAAATGCATTAAATGAGTGGTGGGGTTACGAAAAGTTGATTCTTACTCAGTTTTAAATTTAGGATTTATTCACAAACTAAAACATTAGGAATGTATAGCTTCCAACTCTACAACCCATGTATCAATAAGCATCTCTTCATACACGCACAAGCAATTATGTAATCAGGAAATCCAACACTACCTACTTAATCTTAATTCATACAGTTAACATTAGGGAAATCCACGGTAACTAATGATGGACAGAGCTTGATGGGCCTTTTCTCACTGTGGATTTTGTTGCATATTCTCACATGGTACTCTTGCTTAAAAAAATGCTTGCTATCATTACTTCAGAACCTACTAGACATTAGAATAGGGACATTTAGACAATACTGAAGAGAAGGCAATTTTACAGAGTGGAACACATCTCTTCACATTGCAGGCAGTATCCTTTTTATTAAGACCATAACACATAGGAGCAGAAATTAGGCCATTTGGCCCATCGAGTCTGCTCCGCCATTCAATCATGGCTGATAAGTTCCTCAACCCCATTCTCCCGCTTTCTCCCTGTAACCCTTGATAATCAAGAACCTATCTATCTCCATCTTAAATGTACTCAATGACCTGGCCTCCACAGCCTTCTGTGGCAGTGAATTCCATAGATTCACCACACTCTGGTTGAAGAAGTTTCTCCTTACCTCCGTTCTAAAAGGTCTTCCCTTTACTCTAAGACTGTGCCCTCAGGTCCTAGTTTCTCCTACCAATGGAAGCATCTTCCCAACATCTACCTGTCCAGGCCATTCAGTATTCTGAAAGTTTCAATTAGATCCCCCCCTCATCCTTCTAAACTCCAATGAGTATAGTCCCAGAGTCCTCAAACGTTCCTCATATGTTAAGCTTTCCATCCCTGGGACCATTCTCGTGAACCTCCTCTGAACCCGCTCCAGGGCCAGTACATCCTTCCTGAGATATGGGGCCCAAAACTGCACACAATACTCCAAATGTGGCCTGACCAGAACCTTATAAAGCCTCAGTAGTACATTCCTGCTTTTATATTCAAGTCCTCTCAAAATAAATGCCAACATTGCATTTGCCTTCCTAACTACTGACTCAACCTGCAAGTTTACCTTGAGAGAATCCTGGATTCGAAGTCCCAAGTCTCTTTGCACTTCAGACTTTTGAATTTTCTCCCCATTTAGAAAATAGTCCATGCTTTTATTCTTCTTACCAAAGCACATGACCTCACACTTGCCCACGTTGTACTCCATCTGCCACTTCTTTGCCCACTCCCCTAACCTGTCCAAATCCTTCTGCAGCCTCCCACCTCCTCAATACTACCTATCCCTCCACCTATCTTTGTATCATCTGCAAACTTAGCCAGAATGCCCACAGTTCCTTCATCTAGATCATTAATGTATAAAGTGAAAAGTTGTGGTCCCAACACTGTCCCTTGTGGAACACCACTTGTCACCAGCTGCCATCCTGAGAAAGACCCTTTTATCCCCACTTTTATTCTTCAAAGAACTCTTCTTAGCACAAATTACAAATGCTTTAAACCAAAAATGAATAGAAGAGTATTCAGTATCAGTTGAAACAAGATTCAAAATTACTTATTCTCTTTCCTTGGAGTTGGGCAAATAAATTTGGATCTTATCTATATAGATCTTAGCTTTTAAGTTGTGTAACTGTCAAGATTTCCTTAAAAAGCACCTTCATTTAAAATTAAAGTACTCGGGAGCTGGAATGGTGGCTCAGTGGTTAGGAGTGGCAAGGGAACCTGGTTCAATTCCAGCCTTGGGTGACTGTCTATGTGGAATTTGCACATTCCCCCTGTGTCTGCGTGGGTTTCCTCCAGGTGCTCTGGTTCTTCTCATAGTCCAAAATTATGCAGGTTGAGAGGTTCGGCTATGCTAAAAGTGCCCATAGCGTCTAGGGATATGTAGGCTAGGTGGATTAGCCACAGTAAATGAAGGGTTATGGAATTAGGATAGGGGCTGCGTCTGGGTGGGATGCAGACTCAGTGGGCTGAATAGCCTCTTTTCACACTCTAGGGATTCTATTATTCTATGATTCTATGAAGAATATGCCTCTTAAGGATAAAAAAACTTGAATGAATAAGGGCCAAACCATAAACTTGTGAGATGGATGGAAGTGGATTTGCTGAATTTGAAATCATACAATGTTAAATCAGGGCATCTGCACCCTTTTGTTAACATATTTCAGCCACTTTAAATATGCTTAAATACTATGTGATTGACAAAACTGACCATTTGTCTTATTCAAAAACAGACCATGGATATAAATGATGCTCTCAAAACAAAACAAAAACTGTGCTTTTATTTCTCATTTAAAGATGACAATCTGAAACAAAAACATTGTTAAAGACAAACATTAAATTAGGTATTCACCAGATGCCAGTGTGTTCACTTCAGGATCTTTGGAAAAAGCAAATGCGTTTCAGCTAAAGAACAGCCAACTAGTTCTTGTCACCATTTTAATTCATTATTAGTTAAGAGACTAAGGAAAGAATTTCCTCAGAGAAGAATCAAAGCTCTGGAAGGATTTCTACAAATGAATGAATTTAAGCCACAATGTTTTACAACAGACATTGTTCATTTGTGAATAAAAAGATTAATTTAAAAAATTAAAAGATCTCAGTGAATGAAAGCTTTGAAAGCACAGACTATAAAGAAACAAGCAACAGGTGATGATAAGAAAATGCTATACTTAAACATTACTCATGTAGTAATTCATTACTGGCAATTTAGTAATACATATCTATTGCAGCGAGGGGTAACATTTTCTGGTCTTGACGTAATCAAACTGAGTTACAATGGGAGATCTGTTATTGTACTGTCTGACACAAAGACTTAGACTTTTATCTTGTCAAGACTGAATGGCAACTCTCTCCACACACTTCTTGATCCACAGTCCCAGTATTGAACAGTAAGCTATCAATTCCCACAGAATTACCCAACTCATCTTTTCTGGAGATTTCCTAATTGACAACTTCCCAACTCTGCACAATCCATTTCTATTTCTTCCTCAAAATCCATAAACAGAACAGTGCAAGCAGACAACTTGTTTATGTTGATTTTTGTTTTTGTCTGCACCCTTGTCCATTCCCCATCCAGCCAAATCCACAACATTCTGTCCTCTACTACTTTGTTAGTTTTCAGTTTCCCAGCCCCAGTGGTAGTTTTCACTAAAGTTGTACATTGTCTCTTTAAGCTCCTCCAGGGTCCTCTACCTTGAACAGCAGACCAGCCACTATCCCACTATCATCCTCCTCTGCCAGACAGAACTCATTGAACTTTTCCTTTAACTCCACAGTTTTTCTCCAGATAAGTATTATGAACTTTGAGGATATGATGAGCATTCTTTGTTCCAATCTTGAACACACCGTATCATCTTTTCATTACACTGAGGTCTGTGTAAAAGTTGCTTCCTGCTAGAATCTAAAGTTCATTAATTTGGCTTCAAATTTCCAATTCTTCTTAGCTTCATGTAGGCCATTTCTGACTCTGTGCTTGCCCACTTGGACTTCTCTCTAGCTTAGGAAATGAAATTTGATTCAACATTTATTATAAATCCACAGATTCTCAGAATTACTTAGATTAGTTCCACCCTGCTACTTGTGAGGACTTCATCCTCATCTCTTGCTTTCAGTGTTGAATCTGATGCCAACCCTTTCCACACCAGAATTTCCAAAATATCTTCCTTTTCCTCATCTAACAATTCTCTTTTAGTGTAGCAGACATTAAGGTTACAGATTGCTATTTGTCCTTTATGACTTTCACCCCCTACAGGTTCCCGTGTCCTGTTTCTTCTTACTGCTGTTCACCTGTAACATAATTCCATTGCAAACAAAATGATAACAGTTGTTCTCTTCAAAGATGCTACCTAATCTGAAGGTATTTTCAGTGTTTGCTATTTAATAAATTAAACTGGTTACACAACTATACTGTGTTCAATCCTGTAAAAAAAACTATATCAGTCACTCCAAAAGTTTTCACACTAGTTTAAATTTCTCAGCTTGCTAAATGCTGTTTCAAATCAGTAATTTAGGGAGACAACGATATAGTGGAGAAAACGCAGATTCATTTCAAACAAAGATTCAGGATTCAATTCCAACTCAGGTAGAGAATGTCAAAATCTCCTTTTTGTCTACTGAAAGGGTGCTAAGCAAAATTAATTTGAACAGTCTCAATTACATACAAGGTGCATAAAGAGCTCTGACATTGGGATGAACTGATCATATCTGTCAACAAGGCTACAGCTAAAATAGTACGGGATATAAAAATGCCACACTTGAGGCTCACTCTTCACAGAATAGAATTAAGATACCACGTCTAGCCAGGGTAAAGGAAGTATTACTCTGCAACTCAAACTGTTCTACCCAAAGACTGAATTCCTGATGTTGATAATAACATCAATATCTCAATCCCCAAACCTAGCACTACAAAGTATAAATAGCGTAAAAGAATTAAATTTGCACTATAAGGAAAAGGAGATTAACCCTGTGATCATCTATGTTCTAGCACTGCTGATTATTTAGAGTCATGTAGTAGGATCACTTGCCTGAAATATAAACCAGCTCCATGAAAGTGAAAGTGTCAAAGCTGAAAGGTTAATTAAGGATTAAACAGCTTCATAAAATCACAGAATCACTGCCCAGAAGAGGCCCTTCAGCCCATTGAGTCAGTACCACTGTCCACACTAGTCCCACTTACCCGCACCAGGCCCAAAGCCTTGAACGTTACAACACTTCAAGTGCTCATCCAAGTACTTTTTAAAGGTTGCAAACTTTCCCACCTCAGCTGCCTCCTGGGCAGTGCATTCATACCCTATCACACTCTGGGAGAAAATGTTTTTCCTCAGTTGTAAGGGGGAAAAAAGAACTGCAAACAACAACAACACTTTCAGTTAGAAGTGCTCTTTCTAATAAAATAAATGTAAGTAGAACAGAAGATTAGCGCATATACTCTAGATAGGATGGTAAACACCAAGCAAGGTTAGTGAGTGATAAGAAACATTGTGCAGTTTAGACTGTGTCTATCAGCAGGATAACGGTAGGCCTTAGGTGGATATGAACAATGCCTAAAGTAAGCACTGTGAAGAATAAGTGACAACTGGTTAGCATATGATTTTAAATTGATCAGATTAGAAATTGAGTGCGTGAACTAAGATTATAAGAGATGGAAAACTTGTGTGTTTTTGCCAGAGTTCATTCTTAGAATGTTTAAGGCTGACTCTCCTCATATATATGTGAATAAATTATCACTCCCATACCCAACTCTTCTCGTGGTTTGTCAAGCTGAACCACAATAACAGATTAGTCAAACAGATGCTTTTTGAAGCTGCATCAGTTAGAATTTTGATCTTAATTCCAATTTGTGGACGCTCAGATACAAGGAAAGGTAGTGACATAGTGGCAGTCCAGAGTCCCAGGTTAATGTTCTGGGGTCACAGGTTCAAATCACACCATGACAGATAGTGAAGTTTGATTTCAATTCAATTCGACTTTTAACTTCTGACATAGCCTGGAGAACCAACCAGTTCAAAGGAAACTAGGAATGGGCAACAAGTGCCAGTCTTGTCGTCAACATCTATATTCCATACAAGGAGGAAGAAAATTCTGGTTAATAAAAACATGTGGGAGTAACCAAAGCAGTGCTATATCTATATTTATAATAAGTCAAATAAAATGACCACTAAAATATCATACTTAGTATTGCATATGGGTCAAAAGAAAATACCTGAGGGGAAGTGGAATAAAAAATACATTCTACTCAAACTGGGATACATTTTTATTGTTTTATGCTCCTGACAAACAAATCAGCAAGCCCAAAGTAATTTTTAGATGGTTGTTTTGTAGCACAGAACTTGAATGTAGGTGAAAAAAGACAATTCATCAAAGCTTTTCTTCATGCAGTCATCAGGGTAATTCACAAGAAATACAAATTTAAAGAGAAAACGACATATGCACTGTATGAGGAGTGGAGTTGATTAGTTAGCAAATGGATTCTGAAATGGACTCTAAATCAGTAAAGACGTTGCCAAGGAGAATACGCAAGTTAGATAATCATTGACAATTAACTGATAAGCTTTGTTTAAATTTTAAGAGGCAGGTTGGCTGTGATTGGTTAAGCCATTGCCCTAAGAAATGAACCAGATAACAATGGACGAGTTCAAATGAGCACATGTTCTGTCTGTCTGCAAACAACAAGTAGTAATATATGAAGCTTTCAGTACGTACAAATATGCCACACTGCATGTCCGAATATCAATCCTAAATTGGTTGTCAGCGAGATTATCCATAAACTCAGGATCACTCAGCAAATATTATAGTCACAGAGTTGTACAGAATGGAAATCGACCCTTCAGTCCAACTCATTCATGCTGACCAGATATCCTAAATAAATCTGGTCCCATTTGACTGCGTTCATGCTTCTAAACTGTTCCTATTCATGTACCCATCCAGATGCCTTTTAAATGTAGTAACTGTACCGCCTCCATCACTTCCTCTGGCAGTTCATTCCATACACGCACCACACTCTGCATGAAAAGGTTGCCCCTCAGGTCCCTTTTAAATCTTTCCCCTCTCACCTTAAACCTATGCCTTCTAGTCTTGAACTATCTTACCCTGGGGAAAAGGCCTTGGCTATTCACCCTATACATGCCTCTCATGATGTTACAAATCTCTATAAGATCACCCCTCACCCTCCGATGCTCCAGGGAAAATAGCCTAGCCTATTCAGCTTCTCCCTATAGCTCAATCACTCCAACATCCTTGTAAATCATGATGAGTTTTGCAAACGCTGGCTAGTTGGGTAGTTGGTACATTGCCCGCTGTGAATAGCTGAAGGGATATCCTGTTCAATATAATCTGCCAGTCTTTGAAACGTACAACTTAGATATATAGCATCAAACAGACATGGAAAATCATATGTAACATGAGATTGGCAAACTGTGTTTTCGACTCGACAGTAGCACCCTATTAGTGATGAACACCACGCATGCTGCTAATGGATGGTCAACTTTCTGCCTCCATCCTAGAAACAAGTTGGTTAGAAACAGGACAAGTCTCGGGTGATTGACAGTCATTCAATCTTCCAGTCTATGGACCAGCACAAATATGAACAGGATAAAAAAAAATCTTCAAGAGTCAAAGTGGTTGACTACAGTCAAGCTACCAGACTTTCATAGAGTTGCATTCTTCTAATAGGACATAAATCATAAAGGATATGTGGTTACGAGCCTTTTGTTAGTTGCCAGCTGCTTAGCACCAGTTAGCTGCCAATGCTGACAGATGACATGCTGTTCATGATAATCCTCACACATACAGTTATGCACCCTAGAGAAAAATTTGAGCCGGAAAGAAAAGAGAAGTGAAAAAATCCAATTGGACAGAAAAGGCTATCCATTACCTTGCTCCATGTTTTCAGTTCGTTTACGTTTGAAACCTGCCTTAGCCTCTTGCTCTTTTAAGACTTCCGTTGAGCAGTTGGGTCGGGGAAGTTGAGGCCCTGCTGTTGGTCCAGGGCGGTTACTAAAATACTTCTTCTTTAGTGCCTTGAGAGAATTAAACTTGCAACATAGTCAAAGGAGCACCAATCGATTCAAACTTCATAAAGTATGGAAGAAGAGGCTATCAGTTCATGAAGCACTCCAATAGGATTTAAGAATTTTGCACTATCAAAGGTTCACCAGAAACATAAAAATGAGATCAGAGCAAGTTTTTTCTTTTTATTTACAATTTCCCATATTAGTTTTATTTTCCTCAAAGGAGTTCTCAAAGCTCCTTGTTGTACTGTAGATTTACTAATGCTGGCCACCCTTTTTGTATCATATCTAAACCTGTCCTTATCTGATGTGAACACATTCATTTTTGACAAAAAACACTGGTTAGCATTCAAGATAGCAACACTGGCTAGGTGTTCTCACTCCAGCTCAGAGACATTGAGGTTAATTGCAAAACAATAACCAATACCCCAGCAGAGACTAGAAAATTCAGCACTAACCAGAGACTAAAATCTATGGCTTTCTAGATGTTCTGCCTGAATTAAGCACTAAATAAACTTATTGGCTCATGGGCGGAGTGCTAGAAAGTCAGAGAAGAAAACATGTGAATAAGAAAAACTGTCTATTTCCATATTTTATACATTTAATCCTGAACTGCAGTTAATTGAACTGTGAGTGAACTGTACCTCTCAGGTCTTTATGAAATCCACAATAATGAATAATATCCATTTACCTGGGTAGCTGTTATTCTTGCACAGGGATTAAATGTAAACAGGTCTTGTAGCAATTCCAGTAGGTCATCCCCAGCAGCACTAAATATATGCTCGAGTGGAGTTCCAGGAAAACTCTTAAATGAGATATAGTCCGGAAGGCTGGTCATTCCCTACAATTACAAAATATTAACGTAATATTTGAAGTATCTGTTTTGGATATGAATTTAAAAAGAATGCAAAATAATATGCAGCACCTAGTCATAATGCAGCAGTGCCCAATAACATGTTTACAATAAAATGACAAGCCTTTCCATCCAATTTGGGACTAGAATTTATTAGACCACACAATACTCATTTTAATGGTAGGCATTCCGAATTTAAAGAACTTTGAGATTCTTATCTTGAAATGAAGATTATCATGCATTGCATCGCCAATGTTACAAGGTTTATTTGACTTATGTTTTCATTGTGCACAAGAGCCTAGAAAACAGTTTAGTTGGTTCCTCATGAAGTCAGTACACTTGTCAAACAATAAAGCTTCAAGGTAAATTTTTCAATTCAGGATCTGCTAAAAATTTTAGCAGACTGTGTCCATTTTACAAAATAATCACAGCTGCTTGCAAATTCATTTAGTGCATGAGAAAACCACAACACAAGACAGCTTTTACTGTAAGGTAAGATCTGCTGTTTCCACCCTCAAACCTCCTAATGTTAGAGTTGTAAGGGTATGTCTAAGGCAGGGTTAGTCCAAATTGAATTAAAAGAAGGGACTAATGGCCACTGTGCAGAAGGAAGCAATTAAATCATCTCCATCTAGTCATGGCTGAATGGTTAAGGTGATGGACTCAAAATCCATCCAAAATGGGTTTCCCCATGCAGGATCGAATCCTCCTGACTACAGTCGAGGCCCAAGGACAAATAGGAACGGAGTTTCTCTCGCACTTCTCTTGGTTGAGGGAGTTAGTGGGGATGTGAGGACAAATGTTCAAAGGACTCTTGTGGTGCAGTAGTAGTGTCCCTACTCCTGAGACAGAAGGCTCAGGTTCAAGTCCCACCTGCTGGAGAGGTGCGTAATAACATCTCTAAATAGAGATCTTGATCAGAAAATATCAGCATTTATACCAACCTTTTGCTAGCTACAATCAGTTCTGAACAAAGGCTGCTGGACCTGAAATGTTAACTCTGCTTTCTCTCTACAGATGCGGCCAGATATGCTGAGTTTGCTCAGCAGTTTCTGTTTCTGTTTCTGTTTCTGTTTCTGATTTCTAGCATCTGCAACTCTTTGGGGTATTTTTGTTTCAATTAAATCAGTGCCTGATATAATTTTCCTCTAATAGTCTTCCACTAGGGAATTTCACAGGTGGTGCACAGTGTGTGCTGTTCATGGCACATTAATAATGAAAGTTTAAAGTTGCCACTGCCCCAGAGGATCAGAAGGCTGCTTTCTCATCAGAGAGAGAGACAGACTGCTGGTGGTTTAGTCTGAGGGACTCCATGCCTCAGGCGAAGGGAGAGGTTGAGAAGAAGGGCTCTTCATGTTAAGAAATAAGTTAAACAGACTGTTGAAAAGCAGATCACCACCACCTTCTCAATAGCAACCAGGGATAGGCATACACCAGTGACATCTGCATCCCATGAATGAATAAGAAAATGGGAGTTGTTAAAGGGCATGGAAAAGATTTGTGGGAGGTAGCTCCAATCCTTGATTATGAGGTTGCGGACTTGCTTGCCGAAACAGTGTGTTTGATTGCAAATGTTTCGTCAACCTGCTAGGTAACATTGTCAGTGGGCCTCCAGTGAAGCGCTGGTGTTCCGTCCCGCTTGTTATTTATATGCCTCGGTTTGCTGGTATTACTTCCAATTTTGCTTCTCAGTGGTTTGTACACAGGGTCTAATTCAATGTGTTTGTTGATGGAGTTCTGGTTGGAATTACAGGCCTCCAGGAATTCCCTGGCATGTCTTGTTTGGCTTGTGCTATTATGGACATGTGTCCCAGTTGAATTCGTGTCCTCCTTTGTCCGTGTGTTTTGAGACCAGTGAGAACTCGTCGTGTCTCTTGGTGGTTGGTTGGTGTTCGTGTATCCTAATTGCCAGTTTTCTTCCAGTTCGGCCTATGTAATGTTTCTCACAGTCCTTGCATGGTATTTTGTATATTACATTAGTTTTATCGGTTGTGGGTATGGGGTCCTTTACATTCGTCAGTAGCTGTCGGAGAGTGATTGTTGGTTTGTGGGCTACCCTGATACCTAGGGGTCGGAGTAGTCTTATGGTCATCTCTGTTATGTCTCTGTATGGTACAGTGACTAGTGTGTCTGGCCATGTTGCGTCTTCTTGCTGTGGTCTGTCGCGGAGGTAACGGCGGATTGCGCTTTTTGGGTATCCGTTCCTTTTAAAAACTCCAAATAAGTGCTCCTGTTCTGCTTTTGCACAATTCTGGGTTGCTGCAGTGTGTTGTGGCTCATTTGAATAATGCCCTGATGCAGCTCTGTTTACGGGTGTTGGGGTGGTTGCTGGTGTAATTAAGTATCTGGTCTGTATGTATTGTCCTTCTGTGTACGCTAGTCTGGAGTTCCCTGTTGTTCTTATGTTCTACCATTACGTCCAGGAAGGATAGTCGGTTATTGTTCTCGTCTTTTTTTGTGAATTTTATTCTGGTGAGGATGTTGTTATGTCGGTGGTTTTCTTCTGGTCTTGTGCATTTGATAATCACGAAGGTGTCATCTACGTAGTGGACCCAGAGTTTGGGGTGGATAGTGGGGAGCACTGTTCAATCTAATCTTTGCATTACCGCTTCTGCTCAGTCCTGATATTGAGGATCCCATTGGTGTTCCGTTGATTTGTTTAAATATATGGTCGTTGAAGGTGCAGTGGGTTGTGAGGCACAGATCCAGTAGTTACAGGGTGCTGTTCTTGTTGATGCTGTCAGTATCGTGGGACGTCTGCCTTCCTGATTTGTCCAGCAGTGTGACAATTGTCTCTTTGGCTAGGTCGATGTTTATGGATGTAAATAGTGCTGTTACGTCAAAGGATATTATTATCTCATCCTCTTCTATTCTGGTGCCCTTGATGATGTTGAGGAATTCTTGGGAGGCGTGAATGGAGTGGGTAGTGTTGTCAAGAAAGTACTTCATTTTCTGATATACAAACCACTAAAGGATAAGACCGGAAGAAACACCAACCACCCCAGCAAACCAAGGTATATAAATAACAAGTGGGACGGAACAACAATGCTGCACCAGAGGCACACTGATGATGTTACCTAGCAGGGTGACGAAACGTCTGCAATCAAACTCAGCAAGCAAGTCTGCAACCTCATCCACTCGAGTTACAAATCTTCTCAAAAACTTTCATCCTTGATTATTTTTAGTAAGTAAGAGAGTTAGAAAAGGTCATTTGTTGGGTGTACAACTGGTGCTGTTTTGGAATTTAGTCACTCTTTGACTTGATGTACTGCTGAGAAATATTCAGTTGCCCACTCAAAGTTTTGTAGAGGCATGTCAACCTATTGTCCTTTCTTTAGCTCTGGAGACTGTGCCAGCCTAAAGATGTAATCAACTGGAGATACTAGTGTCTCACGAGTATCTGTCATTAACTTTCTAAAGAAGAGTACGGTTTTTAAGCAGAATATGGGTACAAAGCAAATATACCATTCTGACAAAATCTTGACATAACTCATGCTTCTGAACCCATTTACTACAAAGAGGTTTTATTCACACTCTTTAAATTAAATGTCCATGTTCAATTTCAAAATAACTTACAGGCCACTGTTCTTCTGTTGGAGTGCCCAAAGCTTCAAATATTTTTGTCAGCTGATCTAGGTCAGAGTCCCCAGGTAAAAATGGTGTCTGTATAAAAATAAAAATGAGGCATTTAAGCCAACAAAGTACTTTTTTCTTTTTAAGCTACATATTTGTGAAACACACAGGAATAAAACTGAACTGTAGTCAGTACCTTTTAAAATAACAGGCTAGAAAGTGTTGGAATTCAAAGGAAATTGAAGAGTTTTCATAAGTTTAAACATCCAACCACACTGTTTTAGCTGCTCAAATAATCATGTGGATCCCTCTGAATGGTGTGGAATTATCATGGACAAGGTAGGGTACGCTGTTATATACCATTTGAACAGCGCATCTCTGACTGCTTTCCATATCCAGACCACAAACTCCTTTGACAGGAGTGCAGTGTGTTTGGTTGCTCCTAACCAGTTTCCATTGTAATTGCAACCTGGACTTGTTTGCTGGTGCCAACAACACGACCTTAACATTTCCCAAGTGTTTGCACCCTACTGCATGAAATTATGAACATGGCTCCACTGTGATAATGACTTGAATTCTCTAGTGATCATTTGAGTTGAACCCATTTTCAACCTACAGATTTCAATGCTAGAAGCTGGTCTATAACAAACTTTAATTAGCTTGAAAATCACAGGACAACCAGTCAAAAACAGAAAGTCAAAAATTTTGTTGTTTAGATACACAATATGTTTTCTGCTAATTATTACGATAGTCATCTGATAAATAGTAACTGACTCCGTTTAGAATGCTCTAAGCCTGAATGACATTGACTTTTTTTCATGTTATTTGCTTTTCTTACAATGTAACTTCAATCGTTTTTATATAGCAAATTTCTAATAGAAGATAAAGTTGATATTTTCAGTTTCTGTGCTTGACAAAGTACCATTTTCAGTTTATTTATATTGATGTTCAAAACAGTAAGAAGTGGCTGCCAGAACATTGAAGTACAATCATTCAATAGTTCCCCCAAGGACAAGGTGCAGCTGTTTACACTAATTCAGCAAAGCGTACTCAAACAAAAAAAATGAAAAAAAAAAAGAAGAAATGAAATGAGGGAATAGAACAAGCAGAGATGGTGGAGGTGGTGGTGGTGGTTTTTGGGGGGGGGGGGACTTCCCAAAGATGTGACTTCTCCAATGCTCTCCTTGTCAGCCTCCCAGCTTCAGACCTCTATAGAAATGAACCCGTAATTTCTTCACACAGAGATTTGTGAATCTTTGGATTCTCCATCCCAGAGGAATACAGATGCTTCATTGTTGAATATATTCAAAGCTGGGAGAGAGATTGCTTGATCTGTTAGGGAATCAAGAAATATAAAGAGCAGGCAGGAAAGTTGAGTTGGGGCAGAAAATCAGCTACGATTGTATAAAGTATTGCAGCGGGCTCAAGGGTTATGTGGTTTTTTCCTACTCCTGCTTATGTTCTTATACTTTCAGTGTCACACTCTCTACCAACATGATACAGTGAGGAAGGATCAAGTCATCCCTGGAAGACATTTCAAGGGGAAAAGTAACTTTAATCTTAAAATGTAATATTTCAAGAGACTTATTTACCTAATTTATCTGTCATAAGCACTTACCCTAAGTAGTAGCTCAGCTAATATACAACCAACTGCCCACATGTCTACTCCAACTCCATACATTCTGGCTCCAAATAACAACTCTGGTGATCTGTACCACCTGAAATAAAACAATAAATTTTCATAAAAACATGCTTTTAGAAATTGCAAAGCATAATCACCAGTGAGCAGAATTGATTGGGGAACAGAAATAAATATCCAGAATTCTTCCTATACCCAACCCCTCCTAAAATAGGTTTATTTTAAAATCAAAAACACTTCTAAGAACTTAGAGATAGAAGCAATGCACCCAGTCATGAGCATTTGTCATGGCTAGTTAGTTTTGTCATCATAATTGAAGAACACAAAATTTAAAAACTGAGAAACCGATTCCAAATAAGCACATCAGACAGCAGCACCCTGAACACTACTATTTAGGGAAATGTTGCTTCAAAAGTTTAAAATCCATATTTAAAAAGTACTATTTAATGGAGTGCCACACCATTTTTACTGATTAAGTTAAAATTAAGCCATAATTTTCAAAAACAGAACAATATGAAGTGTGGTATTATTTTGGAATAGACTGAATACCGAAAGTAAATGTACATTTCACATAAATATAAATATATACAAATATGTACATAAACATATTCCACATATTCCCTAAATTGGTGTTATTTCCAATGTTATAATATTATTTCCAATTTCACCTAGCAAAGAAGGAAATTTCTCTCACATCTCGGTTGTGCTATATTGGTAAACAGTGGAGGAGGAAAGCAAATGATTAATTTGGAGACAATGTTTATCTTTTAAGCTGGATAAAATTTTGGTATGAAATATCAGTGGACTTGACGCATGTTCAAGTACTGGGTTTATCTTCAGAAAAGGTGCAACTTGCTTCATCTTAGTCCATATAGTTAGGTGGTTTTCAAACATTCTCTTGTGCATATGTTACCTTGTTACTACCTGATGAGTATACACTCTATTGGGACTTCCAAATGACTTGGCTAAACCAAAATCAGCAAGTTTAAGAATTCCATTCTCATCCACTAATAAGTTGTTGGGCTTCATATCCTGAAAAATGTATTTAAATGAATACATCACAATTATACCCATATGCAGAAAAGTATAGAAGTCAATGTAGAACAAAAACTACCTATTATATCAAAGCTGGACAGATATTGCTAATGTAGAACAGTAATGTTAAAGCAGAAAGGAAATTTTGCACAGACTGTAATAAAGCTCATGAACTGTTTACATGGAGATGAAAGAGCTTAAGCAGATATGGATATTTGAAATACAGAATTCTCAAACTATAGAAGAATCTTTGAATTTTACAACATACAGGAAGGTTGTTTGACCCACTGTATCAGTGTCAGCTCTTTGAAAGAATTATCAAAGTTAGTCCTAAACTACAGTATGATTTTCCCCTTAATCCTAAATTATCTTATCAAAAATTGTTGCAGAATCTGATTGAATCGAAGCACTCTTTCACTAGTGTGCTCCAGACTGTAATAAATCCCAGTTTGAAATAATTTCACCTCACTGCCACCTCATTCTTGTGCCATTTATTTTAAATCAACAATATCTTAATGTCAGTCTGTGAGGATACAGTATTTTCCCCTCTTCTACCAAAACACCTCATAATTTTGCTTACATAATATTAGATTTTCCCCTAATTTTGTCTGCTCCACATAAAACAATCCTGGGTTTCCCAAGCTCTCCAGTAAACTGAAGTCCCCCATGACTGATACCATTTTGCCAAACACCTTTGTAGCCTCTCCATTGTCTTAATATTCTTCCTGAAGTGTACTGCCCAAACTTGTACATAAAATACTCCAGTTGAATGGCTAACCAGTAATTTGTAAAGGTTGGCATGGATTTGTTTTTATTTTTCACTACTGACAAAATCAAGCATCTCAGGTGCTTTTTTAATTGTCTAACCATCTGAGTTTGCATATGTGAGTTTGCATCCCTAGATCCCTCTAGCCCTTGAACTCCCCTCACCATAATTCGTTTAGATTATATTTCATCTCCCCATTGTTTCTTTCCCCCCCCAAAAGGCACAGCTTCACTCATATCCACATTAAATTTCATCCATCTGTTTACTTTATCAGTCAATGTTCCCTTGAATTCCACTACTATCCTACTCAATATCTTCTCTGTTCAAGGATAATCTTTTCAGATTGCAAACATTTGCTGAAGTTTGAACGTGATCAGCGTTGCATTCTCTTGTACAAGTTACATAGAAAGTCTTCAAGTCTGCTCCTCAGTGATGAATTTGGAAATATCGGCAGTGTTCTCTGAACTTGTTCCCTCTTCCCTTCTGAACTTGCTTGATTGATGAGGTCTTTTCATACTACAGCACATTGCCTTTTGTAAAAGAAAGGCAAATGGATGGATGCAGAGCTCCCCAAAAATCTAACAGTATATAACAATACTGCAACAATAGGGCTGATGTTACAGCAAAGTACACACAATATTGTAATGCTATACTAATCTCTCTCTCAAAATTTAGAATTTAGAAGAGATACGATTTTAACATGTATGTGAGTGGAATGCATTCCCTGTCATGATATACAGGTAGAATATTTATGTCGTTAAAAACACTTACCCTATGTAGAATCCAGTGTAAATGAAGATATTCTAGACCCTGGAGTGTCATTAACACATATGCTTTTATGTTAGCAGGAGTCAGCACGAGGCTGGTATCTTTTATTATTACCTACATTTGTGGAAAGAGCAATTAATGAATTTTTATAATGATAGACACAACAGTGACTGATTTCCTTCAGCATTTATGGAATACAATCCAGAAAGTGAGTTATGCTAAATATTACCTCTAAATCGGTCTCCATAAAGTCAAAAACAAGACTGATGTTGGATTTATGACCAAATGCATCAAGAAGCTACAGAAAAAGAATTACAAAAGTCAGCATTCCACTTTCCATTTGAGTGTTAAATTCTGAAAAGGAAATCAAAATACTATAGATTAAAGCTACGTGGCTCCAGAATTTACTGAGTTCAGCATTACTGGGCAATATAAATTGCTAAGTAGAAACGCTTACATTTTTAACCTATTTAATTTTAGTAAATAGAGTTTCTGAAAAATTCAATTGCTCCTGTCAAATTCATCTCTTCTGACTGATGATACTTGCTCTACGACAGCAAAGCAATGTTTTTAATGATTAGAGCTTTACAGAGTAGTCTCCCTGTATTAAAAGGAACAGACACAGAATAGCTGCATAATTATGTATTATTTAGCTTAAAATCCAGCAAATGCAATATTAATTGTTAAACGTGATCCCACAATCGACTTTCAGGCAATATAAAAATATTCTCCAAACAATGAAACATCTGACCCAGGCTATCCTATAAAGGTGTATTAGCATGAAATTCTGTCTATGGAATGATTTGCCATACCTATTTTATCCTTCAGTCATTCCACACTTGAGCATAATACAAGATCAGAAAAAGATTAGCCACTGAACCATGTTCCTCTGTACTTTAATTCCATTCATCTGCCTTATTTTGTAAGCATTGTCTTTTAGTTCAGTGTTGTCTTTTATCTCATTTGACAAATACGGTTGTGAATTACACAACTGGTGCCTTTACCTTCTACAAGACTTCGCATCATACTCTAATTGTTTTAAAAACTTCCCTTTCTTTGGTTGTAAGTTCAACCATTAACAGTTCAGATTAGTTTATTGTGATCAGTTCATTTCTCTTCACTTCAAAGTTTTCCCTACTCAAGTTCAAAAAATTACTGACACAAATCATTTGAAATTGTCATACTTACTCCTATAATATTTGGGTGACTGAGTTCCTGTAGCAACTTGATTTCTCGAAGGGCTGTTCTATTAATACCTACAACAACAGTTTGTTACTAGTCAAGAAAAAGAATCATAGTTATAAATTAAACTTCTTTAACTGGCTCAAATTCCTTCAAATGTATATTGTTTGCTATTCTGACTATTGGAAATTAAGGGATAGTTTGTTGACTTAAAAGTTAGGTTTAGGACACTACAGACTACAGTACTATCGAGAACCCCAGCGATTTTCGAACTGTTTTCTCAAAGTATTGTAACAGATTTACTTTGCCAATACTGTCTATAGCTGTACTTAACAAGTGCCACTTGCAAAACATCTTCAATTTACACTTCGATAAATGTGAGCCCTAAAAAATTTTAAATTAGCTCAATTATTTGAATATAGCATAATTTATTGTTGGCAAATGTGGCAAGATATTGTACATTACAGTTGTAACTTGGTCTCAACTACAAATAAAAAAATTGACTACTCACCCCCCAGGTAACAATTGTTTTGCCACACTACTGTGCTCAATGATTTTTAGGGGAATATGGGAAAATGAAAATCGGAATATCAGGAGAGATTAATTCAATTAGTACTGTATTCACAGGAGTTTGGAAGAATGAGGGGTATCTCATAGAAACCCAACATTTCTAACAAGACTAGACAAGTTAGTTGCAGCAAACATGTTGCCAATTGCAGGGGGAGTCCTGAACCAAGGGTCATTGTCTTAAAAGGTTCATCCCTTATAAGACCATAAGACATAGGAGCAGAAATTAGGCCAGTCAGCCCATCCAAACTGCTCTGGCATTCAATCATGGCTGATAAGTTTCTCAAACCCAATCTCCCACTTTCTCCCCCTAACCCTTGATTGCCTTGACAATTTAGAACCTATTTATCTCCATCTTAAATATACTCAATGATTTGGCCTCCACAGCCTTCTGTGGCAATGAATTCCATAGATTCACCACTCTCTGACTTATCTTCAAACTGAGATGAGAAGAAATTTCTGCACTCAGAGTGGTGAGCCACTACCACAGAAATAGTTATGGCCAAAACGTCGTGCTTTCACGAAGGTAGATATAGCTGATGGTTAAAGTGATTAAGGGCTGTGGGACGGGGGAAGAATTAGGATATTCAGCTCAATGATCAGCTATAATCATACTGAATGGCAGAGCCAGCTCCAGGGTCAAATGACCTACTCCTGCTCCTATCTTCAATGTTTACATGTTTAACACCTTTAAGTTTCTTAAAGATTGACCAGGTTACTGTTGCCTTCCTTACTGAAACATCTAATTATTTTTAGAAAGCCTCAGCCCACTGTAAAAGGACCTTGAAGTCTGAATCAAATAGAATACTTCATTACTTACCATCTTTAGCTTCTGATCTGTGCCCAACTTTAATCTGGAGGACAATAAAGCAAATACAAAACAGAGATGAAGTGATTTTAAGCAGAGAAATATTTTGTTGTAACATCACAATGTTGCCAACAAATTTACGTTGCTTTCAATATGGAACTAGTCCTCTGTGAATTTTCTGCTCTAAGGGTTGCAACTGTGGTTCTTCCATTTCTTTAGGTTGCTACTGAATACCTATATCATTTCTAGAACAAAGTGCAGATAAGGGGAAGGCAAACTATGGACAAAGCGCCAAACAGGCTCACACAAGCTTTTTGTACTTTCTGCAGCGGATCTATTAGATCCCATTGACACAGTATAGGAGCAAATTACTGCAGATGCTGGTATCTATAGTGAAAACGAAACATGCTGGAAATCACAGCGGGTCAGGTAGCATCTGTGAAGAGACAGCAAGCTCACATTTGGGTTCTAAATGACTCTTCATCAGATCTCTGGTGAAGAGTAACCTAGACTCGCAACGTTGGCTTGCTGTCTCTCCACAGATGCTACCTGACCCGCTGGGATTTCCAGTATTTTTTCTTTTCAGTCATCGATACACTAGGTTGCTTCAGCTAATGATCAACAACAGTTTCTTCAGGAATGTAAGAGCTCTTTCCAGAAACTGTCTTTGTTCAGAACCTCCAGTAAAACCCCACGGTTCAGAAACTAGGAACTTCCCTAACAAGTGCAGATTTTCTGTCTCTATCCCTGAAACGCAGGGAAAGGCTCTCCTCGTCTTAAAAACTCAATTTAGGACTTTTAACGTTTATAGACTCTCTCAAACGTTTCAAAAATGTATTCAATCAAGGTTCAAATTTTGGTGGAAGAGAGATTAAAAGGTCGAGAATTACAGCAGGAACTTGCAGAACTTTGAGAATTCATTTGCCAGTTATATTAATCGCTACAAAGTCTCAAAGAAATAAAACTGGACAGATCTGGATCTGGCATCGGCCTAGGCACCGGAAAATACAATGGCTGAGACAGCCCTGTCGACCCTGCAAAGTTCTCCTTACAAACATCCAGGGGCTAATGCCAAAATTGGTGCCTGACATAGTTACACTCACAGAATCACACCTTACAGGCAATGTCCCAGATACCACCATCACCATCCTTATATATGTCCTGACCCACTGGCAGGTCAGACCCAACGGAGGAGGCAGCACAGTGGTATACAGGCAGGAGACAGTTGCCCTGGGAGTCCTCAACATTGACTGCAGACCCCTTAACGTCTCAAGGTTTCACGCTGAACAGGGGCAAGGAAGCTTACTGCTGATTATCATGTACCATCCTCCCTTGGCTGATGAATTGGTACTCCTCCATGTTGAGCAACACTTGGAGGATGCACTGAGGATGGCAAGGGCACGACATGTACTCTAGTTGGGGGATTTCAATGTCTAACACCAAGAGCAGCTCAGCAGCATTACTACTGATTTGGCTGGTCAGATCCTAAAGGACATAGTTGCTAGACTGGATCTGCAACAGGTGGTGAAGGAACCAACAAGAGCGAAATACATACCTGACTTCATCCTTGCCAATCTGCCAGCTGCAGATGCATCTGCCCTTGACATTATCGGTATGAGTGACCATTGCACAGTCCTTGTGGAGACAAACACCTGCCTTCACATTGAGAATAATCTCCATTGTGTTGTGCAGCACTATCACCATGCTAAATAGAACAGACTTCAAAAAGATCTAGCAACTCAAGACCGGACATTCACAAGGCGCTGTGTGTCATCAATAGCAGCAGAATTATAGTTCAGCACAATCTGCAACCTCCTGGCCCGGCATCCCCACTCAGCCATTACCATCAGGCCGGGATCAACCCTGGTTCAATGGAATGTGTGGGAGGGCATGGCAGGATCAATACCTGAAAATGAGGTGTCAACCTGATGAAGCTACCAAATAGGATTACTTGTACACCAAACAGCATAAGCAGCAAGTGAAAGACAGAGCTAGGTGATCCCATAACCAACGAATCAGACCTAAGCTCTGCAATCCTGCCACATCAAATTGTGAATGGTGGAGGACAATTAAACAACTCACTGAGGAAAAGGCTCCACAAATAGAATCCATTCTCAATGATGAGAGAGCCCAACATATAAGTGCAAAAGTTAAGGCTGAAACCTTCACAGCAGAAGTGCCGAGTAGATGACTTATCTTGGCCTCCTCCAGTGGTCCCCAGCATTACAGATAACAGTCTTCATTCACTCCATGTAATATCAAGAAACAGTTGGAGACATTGGATACTGTCCCTGACAACACTCCAGCAATACTACTGAAGGCTTGCGCTTCACAACTTGCCAATCCCCTAGCCAAGCTCTTCCAGTATAATTTACAATGCTAGCATCTATCTGACAGTGTAGAAAATTGCCCAGGTACTTCCTGTACATAAAAGGCAGGACAAATCCAACCCAGCCAATTACTGCCCCATCAGTCTACTCTCAATCATCTTTAATGTGTTTTAATTGTTTAATATATTATTCACCATTGATATCATCTTTTATATATTTTGTAAACTTTACCAGCAATGTGTATATTAAATTTAAGAAAAGACTTTGACTACTTAACAGAGATTCAACAAACAGCTAGCTCTTTTCTCTGTGGTAGAGCAAGAACCAATGCTTCAAATCCAATTAATCTAGCTTTGTCTGCTTGCCATGGGGTCCTTTCCTCATGTACCCCACTCAGATATACCAGCTGCCTGGTTCTCAATCCTTCCACCAATTGGAACAGTTTCTCCCTATCTGTTATGTCTGGATCCGTCATTGTTTTGAATGAAAACTTCTTTCAACCTCTTTTCTAAGAAGACTCTGTCCAGTTCTGGTCGCCAAATTATAGGAAGAATATTATCAAGCTGGAGAGGGTTCAGAACAGATTTACCAGGATGTTGCTGGGTATGGAAGATTTGAATTTAAAGTAAGGCTGGATAGGCTGTGATATTATTTCCACTAGTTGAGAGGTGACCATATAGAAGTTTATAAAATCATGAAGGGCATAGATAGGATTAATGGTAGGTGTCTTTTCCCTAGGATGGGGTATTTCAAGACTATGGGGGACATATTGAGGAGAGAGATTTAAAAAAGATAGGAGGGTGCTTCACATGTGGAATGAACTTCCTGAGGAAGTGGTACACGTGGGCACAATTATAACATTTAAAAGATATTTGGATAAGTAAATGAATAGGAAAGGTTTGGAGGGAAATGAGCCAGAAGCAGGCAGGTGGGACTAGTTTAATTTGGGATTATGTTCAGCATGGACTGGTGGAACTGAAGAGTCTGTTTCTGTGCTGTATGACTCTAACTCTAAGACTGTCCTAACTTCTCTAATTTTCCTATGTAACTACAATTCCTCAACTGTAGAACCATTCTGGCGAATCTTTGCTGCATCCTGTCTGATGTGTTCACATCCTTCCTAAAGTGCAGTGCACAGAATTGGAGTCCTTGGACAATACTCCACTGGAGGCCAAATCAATGTTTTATAGACGTTCAAGTTAACTTCCTTGCTTTTGAATTCTATATATCTACTGATAAAGCCCATAATGTTTATTTACTGCTTTCTCAACCTGTCCTGCCATTTTCAACAGTTTATGTCCCTGTGCTCATATTTTCATTCAGAGAAGTGGGTGTTGCTGGTTAGACCAACACTTTTTACTCAAGTGAACTTAGAGATGGCGAATAGTGAGCCATAATCGTGAATTGTTGCAGTCCATCTATCTACATTGCCATCATGAATTGATTTACAGGATTTTGCCCACTAACAGCAAAGGACTGGTGATATAGTCCCAAGTCAGAATGGTTTGTGGCTTCAAAGGGTAGTTGCCGTGACCGAGTTACTATACATCTGCTGCCATTACCCTTTTATAAGGTAGTTGTCGCAGATTAGCTAAGGTGCTATCAAAGGAGCATTGATGAATTACTGTAGTGCATCTTTAGATGGTACACATTACTGCTACTGAGTTGGTGATGCGGGACTGAATCATTCAGGTGGTGAATAAAGTGGCACCCAAGTGGGCAGCTTTGTCCTCAATGGTGTCAAGTTTCTCAGGTGTTGTTGGAGCTGTATCCATCCAGGCAAGGGGAGAACATTCAAGTAATTCATGCCTTATAGATGATGGACAGGTTTTGCAGAGACAGGATGTGGGTTTCTCAACTCAGAATTGCCAACTTCTGACCTGTTGGTGTAGCCACAGTACTTATATGGCTGGTACAGTTCAGCTTCTGGACAGTAGAAATCCCCCAGGCTATGGTAGGGCGTTCCGCACAGTACCATTGAACCCTCTTTAGAATTGTACCCTTCGTTTTTATATTGTTTCTCTGCATTCTTCCCATCAAAAGTAAATCACTACACACACGTATGCATTAAAATTTCATTTCCTACCCCACTGTTCACAATACAGGGCCCTGACCTTGACAGACAGAAGGAACATTGACACACACTGCACCTGTTTCAACTCAAAATAGGTGATAGCCATTCATTGGCTCATTGTTCAAGGCATTGATGTGGGAAATCAGATTCAAACATCCCTACTTTAAAATTTAGACAAAGCCTGGCAGTTATTTGCCAATCATTGTTAACTGTTGTATGCTTCATTGCAATGCCTCTACCAGAGGCCCCGTGTCAACCAATAGCACTCTCCTCTTAAACAGCATAAATGTTGGTTCTCCCTTAAATTAGCATTCTTGCTAATTGTCCCTTTATCAATTATTGCAAGGCAACAAGCTTTGACAAAAAGCTTTGCCATTTTTCAGCAATACTCAAGTTTTATTGTACCAAATTACCACAAAAAATCTGCTGAAAGCTGTACTTACCTTCTTTATTGCAACAATGTTGTCTGTGTTCTTGTCTTTTGCCTTATAAACAGTGGCAAACTAAAAATTGAAAATAAAAAAAAAAAATAACTGCATGAGTTAGTGTAGGGGAAAAAGCCACACTGTAAAACAATACTACCAAATATAAATGACACGAGTAAGTGAACAAAATAGCTAATTTTCATAACCAATATGTGTGTAAAATATAGCTCCACAAAACAGTAACCCAACAGCAATTGGAAAGAATGGGGGCAAACCCAACAGATGAGCCACTGCAACATTCAGACTTAATGGCAATTCTATAGCTAATCTAAATTTTTAAAGTTAGACAAAACAGATTGCAAAAACAATGCAATGATGTACCAAATGCAGACTAGAAAGAGTTCTGCAATAGAAGCAGGTACAGAAAATCAGTATATAATTTTTTAACTCTCTTATGACCAACAGTTTAAATTCTCCAAGTCACTGAGCTCACAAATGACTGGCATGTGAGATATTTAGGAGTATTATATTTTAGGATTTGCATTTCAAAACAGAGGCAGATGGAGGTGATCAGTCCTGAGATTTTATTTAATATAGGTCAGAAGGTAATCTGGAACAACCTCCTAAATGTATTAGTTCCAAGAAAGCATGCAATTGCAGTGACTGCCTGCAGCGTTAATTGATAAGTTTTTTTCTTTAACATTGTTAGGCTTATGACAGGCAGAGTAAGCACATTAAAGCAATTAGTTTAGCTTTGACTTCAGAGCAGAAGGTTCAAAGTTTTACCTCAGCAGAATTCACTCCAGAAGGTTAAACAGTTTCTCCTAGCAGGGGAATCAGGACAGATAAGTGAACTAGTCACTTCAGCAGAAGTGGTTTCTATTCTATGAAGCTTCAAAGCCAGGAGTCTTAAAATTGTTAAAACTAAGAAAGTTTAGGCCATTAGAATTCTGAAAGCTTCCTGCCAGCTGACTTAACAAATTGTAAAATATGCCTATTGTTCAAGTTAAAGAAACTGTGGAATGTCAACCAAGTAAACTATTTTTTAAAAGATGAACTAGGAAAAACTGAAAACAAAAGTACAGATTCCAGCTTCTGCAGTAATTTGCTCCTGAAATAGGAGTACCATTTTTCCAGGATTGAGTCCCTGTTATGGGCAGGATGGGAAACAGTTTGAAATGTTATTCTGATGTCTGCGTTAAGATCTTTCTGCTTCCTAAATATATGGTTTTGTTCTGTTGTTAAAGAACATCTGTTGTCTTGTGTGAATGTTTCAGAGATTCATGTTGTCTTAGCTAACTGCAAAAATTAAATATATGATATATCAAGTCAGGCTTCACAATGGGATGTGAATTGTCCAGTGGGATCGTAACACTTGTTTTGTTTCCTTGGTGCCATTAGACTAAAGCTTATTTTGCAGATATTCTGGAAATTATTCCTAACCTTTCCCCTCAAAGGCTTCAATACAGTATTAAATTGTCATTTTGCAGTACCACTCTGCACTGCAAATCAGCTGTCCAGCCAAATGATCTAACTCAACCCCAACACTGGTTAGCTAAGTTGGGTGGATAGCTGGTTCATGATGTGGAGTGATGCTGAGGGCATGGGTTCAATTCCCATAGCAACTGGAGTCACCATGAAGTTCCTATCTTCTGACCCTCACCCCTTGCCTGAGGTATAGTGATCCTCAGGTTAAATTACTACCAGTCTCTCTCCAATAAGAGAACAGCCTTATGGTCCTCTGGGACTATGCGACTTTACCTTACACAAGATTAAACATAGGATATTGATTGGCTGCTTAACACCAGGAGGCATTATACCCAGGTTTGGTCAGGGAAGCTAAGACTAATCAAAATGCGCACACTGCTAATATGGAGGAGATCAATTGTCATAAATGTTTGGGATTTGAATTAGCGATCTTTCTGGCCTTTGGCACAGCTACTTGCAATTAAACTCCAGCAGGGTGGGGCAACGTAATTATCAAAATTTTTTTCTCTCAATTGCAATTTTACAGATGAATTCCATGTTCATGTACAAATATATTAACAAGATAGAAAGTTTATTTTTTCTATTTCTACGTTCCTGTCAAAATTGACTATCAGATTCAATTTCACATGAATATTGTTTCCAAAAAAATTTAGAAGAGTATGGTTTTAAGATAGTGCTCAAAGCAAAAGTACTCACTACAATCTAGGTAGTTCCTACTAGACATATTTCTGATTGCCCAAATATGCCAATGGAGCCATTCAGGTGGCATCAATAATTGGATCTGTTTAAACACCAAGCATTTAAACAGTAGTTGACTTGATTGCTCTCCCAAAATCTCCAGTAACACCTAAAAAAACCTGCAGAATAGATTGAACTGAAATAGATTTCATGTCTAAATGTATGTTCAATTTTGCAAAGTAATATTTGATCATGGATATGATTTGCAAATTACATTAAAATGCAAAGTAACATCATGGCTATATTTGTCTCAAGTACTGCATAAATGTCTTGCACACTCACCCGAGGCACAATGTGAATTGTGAGAAGGACGTATACACATTTTAAGGGGATTTAGTCAGGCTAAATGAGTGGGTAAGAACGGCAGGTAGAATACAATGTGGCAAAACATGAAATTATCCACTTTGATTGGAAAAATAGAAATACAAAAGTGAGCAATTAGGAAATGTTGATAAGCAAAAGAACTTAGGTGTCCTTGTTCATAAATTACTGAAAGTTAACGTGAAACTGCCTCAAGTAAAAGAACATAGAACTGTACAGCACAGTACAGGCCCTTTGGCCCACGATGTTGTGCCGAACTTTTACCCTAATCCTAAGGTCTATCTAACCTCCACCTCTACCTTATACTATCATCCATATGCCTATCTAATAGCCGCTTAAATGCCTCTAATGAGGCTGACTCCACTACCTTCTCCGGCAATGCATTCCACGCCCCGACACAATCTGAGTAAAGAGTCTATGACGTCTCCCCTGTATCTACCTCCACTTTAAACTATTACAGACAGAAAAGTGCATGAACCATGCTAATCTCTCAATTTGTTCACAGTCAGTACTAGAAGGACAAAGAGAAGCATTCAAAAGCTGAATACTGTGCAGTTTAGTTGCTCGAACAAAACAACGGAGTCCCCTTTAATTTGAAATGCCTATGTGAGCCATTGTCCTTTTGGAACCTGGCCATTTGTATCATGATGTTTTCCAGAACTGAAATATTCTGTTTCCCTCTGTACTTTCTCCACCATAAAGCATCACTTGTTGATTATTTCCAGACACTGTGAAATATTCATTCTGATTTTATTTTTATGCCTGGGCATATTTAACAATAGATTACATTAGGGTATGAATAGATACTCAAACAGTACACTGTTTACATCCTGAACATATACCGTTCAACACAGTTTGTTAGTTCCCAAATGGTTCATTCAACATTAGAGAATTTGGACTAATTTTTAAAATATATTTTATATGCAATTCTAGTACAATGAGAAGTGAATGTGTTCATTATGACAACTTGCATATTGATCCAACTCTGGCATGAGCATTCACATCTTATTATGACTTGAAGGAGAGAAAAGTACACTGTAGGAGCTGTATTAAGAAGGTTTGTTCATACTTAATATTGCAAGAGGATTTCAGTACAGGAATGAAGGAGTCTTGCTACAATTGTATCCAGCCTTGGTGATACCATTTTTGTTCTTCTTTCCCAATTATACACATGCAATAGAGGGAGTTCAATAAAGACTCACCAGACTGATCCCTGAATTGACAGAACTGTTCATGAGATATTGAGACTGGGCCTATGTTCTCTGACGTTTAGAAGAAAGAGAAAAGTGATTTAATTGAAGCATACAATACTCCTACAGGGTTTGACAGGTTAGATATAGGAAGGATGTTTCCCATAATAAAAGCAAAATATTGCGGATGCTGGGAATCTGAAATAAAAACATAATGCTGGAGAAACTCAGCAGGTCTGCCAGAATCTGTGGAGAGAGAAGCAGAGTTGATGCTCGAGTCCAATAGGAATTCTTCAGAACTGAAAAGGCTTAGAATTCAGCAGTTTTACGGTGCTTGGATTGAGGAGAGTGGGAGAAAGAGATAAGGAAATGGATTCAAAAGTAACAAACACAGCCCTTGCTATTCAAGAAAAGAGGGAGGTTTTAAATTTAGCATATCATCAGCTGCACTGAATCTATTGTTAGAGATTGCCAACAGAACACGTAGAAAATCGTAATACAATTGACAAATCTGCATTGTGTTTCACCAAAAACAAACTTTGTTTGACAAACCTGTTAGTATTTGAGGTCATAACTGATCGGGTAGATGAGGTAAAACCAGTGGGTGTGACATATTTGACTTTTTTTTTAAAAAAGGATTTGATCTCTTATCACACAAAAGGTTATCGGACTGAATTAGTGCAAATGGGGTTGAAAGTTGTATATTGGATTTAGAATAGGTTACAAATAGAAATCAGTAGGTAGAAATAGTGGGTCTTTAGTGAATTGATACACTGCTACAAGCATGATACGATAAAGATCAATACTTGAACCACAAAACTTACCACCTATATCAATGATTTAGATGACAGCATTGAATGTAATACAGTCAAGTATGCTAATACAAAGCTGAATGGGAAAACAAGTTATAGCAAGGTCAAGGAGATTGAAAAGTATATAAATAGGCTAAATGACTATCAAGAACATTGCAGGTGAAATATAATGGGGAGTTGTGAAGTTTTTTACATTGTTAAAAGAATATGCTTTTCCATTTTTCCTACTGACAGGTGTGAGAATGGAACATGTTAGTATTCATAAGAACAGTGTGTCTTTATACACAATATCGTAAATGTTAACATGCAGGCACAAGAAATTAGAAGAACAAAATGATATATTAGCCTTGTGAAAAGATGGAGTAAATTATATTGGGCTCTGATAAGAGTACTGTGTACAGTTTTAGTCTTCATACCTAAGGCAGGATATATTTGCCAGAGACAACACAATAAAAAGTTCAGACATAGTAGGAACTGCAGATGCTGGAGAATCTGAGATAACAAGGTGTAGAGCTGGATGAACACAGCA